ATCACACCCCAGTCAAAAAGTGGGAGGATGCACATTTACAAACGCCAGGTTACACCTCTCCTGCATTCACACCCACGGATGTACATGAACGTACATGTACATGTAAGGTACTTTGCTTCTCGGGAAAAAGCACCAGAAATTCCAGTACTATGTACATGAACCACACATGTAGGTTGCACTTAGATAATCATGACCTATTTATTGTGGACAGTCATTTGCCTCTCCCCTCCACACTCGGTAGGGGTAACACTGCACTTTTTGCCAAAATCCCCTCTCATATTCAACCACCTGCTCTCATCATGAGGAGGGCCGTTTAGCAAACACTTCTCCAAATTAAATTCAGATTGACATTCCTACTGGGGTCATATCAGCTGTGTTCGCACTTAGTGCCTGAACGCCTCCTCCGGCTTCAGCTAGTTGCCTCTCTGCATTGAGCAGCAGATGAACTTGGTTTCTGTGTTTCTTCAGTTGCATTGCCAGAAGGGCTGTACACATCCCAGGGTCTTGGCCAAGATCCTGTCCTGGCACCTGTTGGGTTTGCTTGCCTGCCCAGTCGGCATCTTGATGAAGTTCCTGTCATGACTTGAAAAATCTCCTTCTCATACCCTCTCCAGTCCTCAATAATTTACCAGAAGGTTTGGGGGGATTTTTGCAGACTGGATATATGTCATGTTCATGGCCCACTAATATTTTATGTGGGTCCTTGCATCGCTTGAAAGCTGAATTACCCGTCATATAATATGCTATTAAGTTCCTACAGTCGTAGAATTCTGGTGAATTCATGATACCGATTGAGGTAGGGTTGTGTGAGTGTGTGCAACATGAGAACGCTAATGAACCCACCCCTTGTTTGTAATTACAGCTGTCGTGGTATCTCAGATGCGACCATCTGAATTCAGTGTCACGCCACCGTCCGTGCTGCTGCACAAGTGTTATGCATTCATGTGTTCCATGACTTCCAAGCCCCTTCGGGTCGTTCCGGCTGCTTTGCGCACTTGCCTGCATTTATGCACGACCCCATTTTCGAGTTTAACATGGACTCCAAGATTTTGGTTTTTTTTGGGCAACGGTATTGGAGTTCAGGAGGTGTTTTGGATGAAATTTCCCCAAAATCCTGGCAAATGCTTTGGATTCATTAAATCCACACTTGCATGTAAGGTGCGTAATGGATAGATGCAAGACTGGAACTCATCCGCTGTTGTCCAGCATGGGCCTTGATTTCCTGATTTGGTGCAGTGGTCCTTCGTGTACATGTAATGTTGGCTTTAGGAAGTGATGGATTTTGTAAGATTTCAGTAATGAACTTTGCTCAATTCAGTGTGTGAGTGTGTGAACCGGATGTTTTGACTCTGAAAAAATGCCACAAGTCTGCATGTACATGTACGTTCAAAATTACTGGTAAATAAAATATCAGACTAAATGTGTTCACAAGCTTGTTGGAAAAAGATTTACTGGTACTTCATCAGTTACGCTGCGCAGGAATTGATTTAAACATGATATCTTTCTGGGGCAAGTATTAAAGACAGACTAGCCTCATTACTGAACACTACTCAGTGCATGAACTTGCCGACCGGACATGTTGCTTCTGAAATGCCAACGGCCAGTGATTGACAAATGCAGTTGGCAAACCTGGGCATCTCTGTGCATCTCTGCCAGTTGGGCCGGGGATGCTGTTGCCATGGCAATCTGGCACTTTACAGCACCCGCGGGAAGGTGGGAATTATTGATTTTTTGGCTGTTATGTTAAGGCGGGAGGAGCTGGCGATTGCAGTAGGTTTTTTCCCTTCCACTCAGGAGGCTTCCAGGCTTTGTTTTTTTCTCTTTTGCCTTGATGGAAGGAGAGGTGCACATGTCGCATACAGCGTACTACGTGTATGAGTAGCTCAGACGAGAGCAGTTCAAGTCTTCCATTTGTACAAGGGTTCAGTATCTGCTTGTCTGAACCTACAAAACCCTGCTTTTGGAAGCCAATGGGGTACATGTATTAGTGTTTCTGCTTTGTTTCATTTCCGGCCTCTTCTACATACATGTACATGCGTGGTGTATACATTTGCAGTCGAAAGTTTGCTATACGCTTAACCCGGAAGCATTCAATGACAGTTTTAAAGACTTCACAGATTTCGGACAACTTTTCTCTCAAGCCGATCAGCCAAGATATCTACTCTATTTATATAAACCTGTAAATAAAGTACTAAGGTACATGTATATTATATGTTTGGATTGATCAGATGCACCAGTAGTAAAGAAAATGTCGCTAAAAGTACAAATTTAAAAATTTTGATCAAATACATGTACAGTAACTCAATATTATGCAGACTCCATAAAGACTAATGAAAGCCATGTTTGATTCAATATTTCGTTCTTTATTCAGAACATCAGAACATCTTCAGGAAAGTACATGTACAGTACATTCAAAGTATACCCAGTTGTGCTTTTGACTACCTGTTCATGTTCATGTACATGTACATGTCTGTACAGTACCGTACATGTATTCGCTTACTAAAACAACACTTCACAAAATTAAAGTTAAGCAAGACTTGCTGTTAAGCTTTCTATGTACGTACTTATAGAAATTACTGTAGACCTGCTCATGCTCAAAGTACTAGTATCCTACTAGTGCATGGTATTTATATAACATGAGATTAAAATAGAAAGGAATATAATTTGAATGATACCGGTACCTTAATCCAAAGAGGCTAGGAACTTCATGAAAGAAAAACAAACCAAATTATGGATCTTCACTCATGGTGATTTGAGAATTCCTCGTGAGGTAATGGAAAATGTTTGTGAATGGCACAGGATCGTACATGTGCTACGTGCAGGTGTTTGACAGTCCCTCTGAAAACTTCAGTCTGACACTCACCTGAGCAACCTGTGGACCAGAAATACCTGGACCAGTAGATGGCCAGTTCTACTCCCTAATGTGACTGGATCAACACAAGTCAGTCCCGATCTTGTTTTATATCCTTCCAAATTTGGCATTAAAACTTTAGAGCAATCTTGAGCCTGTTGTTCCGATGTACCAATATCAGTCAGTTTGGTATTGTGATAAGGATGGACACTATTGCAAGTGGAAAAGGCTAAGGTGTCCCGTTGATTTACATTCTGCAAGATTCCTTCAAAGTGTACATGTAGCTGCGATGAATTATTTATTCTCTTTGACACAATTTTTGTGTATCTTTGTACTTCTCGTCAGTGTACGAAAACCCTTACACACTTTGGTTACATGCGTTGAAAAGTGCACACTTTTAAAGAATCAAAATTATCCATGTTTTCCCTGACAATTGAGGGCGCTGTTGCTGTGAAATCATTTAGAGAAGACAGGTTCAGCGCATAGGTACATGTATTTCAGTTCAAATTGTGAACCGAGAATTTACTAACTGAAATCATTTCTGAGAGAGGGATTGATGGGTTCTTATTGCTATGCACATAAACAACAATGAGTCGGCAAAGAAGGGAAAACTTAGTGCAGGAAAATCTACAAAAGGCAGGACTTTTTTGTGTACAAACCAATGTAACATTGAGGCTTCTTCCTAAGATGACATCACGGTTTTGCTGATGAATATGGAAATATCATTAGCATAAAAACCAAAAAAGCATTGAAATGCCCTTGAAATAGTGAAACCAAAGTTGAAAATAAGATTTATTGAGGCACAAAGGTGCATTTTACAGGTTTGTAATCAAAAACATTGATCACCTTTAAAGGCCTTTAATTCATTGTGGCTCTGGTGGGACTGACAAATTGTTTTGTTACTGCGGAATAAATCTTCTACAGAAGCTGGCAATTTTGTTGTTTTGTTTGCTGGCAAATGTACATGTACTGGTACATGTACATTTACGGTATGCATAAATATACATGTACATGTACATTTCTGTGAAACATACCGGTATGCCATGTTGCCTTTCTCTCTTAGAAATGTGTAAACTTTCAGATCGAAAGGAAATTTAATGGAAACACACAGCAAAAAGCCTTGCATTTTAAAATTGTTGCATTGTGGTAACTTATGCAATAACTGGAGAGGTGTAACTTAAGACGACAACCATCTGCCTCCCACTTGGGCGAGTTCATGCTCCTGTGCCTAGCCGATGATGGATCAACCCATCAAGGCCCTGGCTGCAGGAGACAGAGAGAGAGAGAGAGCAAATGAGGAGATGGGAAGGATGAAGAAAGAGATGACAGAAAGGGAATGAGGAATGGAAAGATGGAGAGGAAGGAGGCGAGAAGATGATTAGACTGGAGGATCGGAATTATTGTTCTGAACGCTAAGAATGTGAAAGCTTGATGGAGTCATGACATACACGGTTGTGGTTTCATTACTTGGAACCGTACTGTTGACATGTATGTACTCCCCAGTATTCGTTGTAGTTTCTGGCGGAGCGAGGATGTCTTTGATGTTTTGCGGAATAACAGATGAGAAACAACGCCCACGCAATAGTTGTTTTTATACTTTTGAGGTTTTTGAAATAAAATGAAAAGAAAAATTACTCAAGCCATTTTTTTCCCCCTTTTTTGCGCATGTGTAATGGAGAAAAAGATTCTGATCTGGAAAAACAAGTAGCAAATAATGTCCACTCCAAAAGTGCACAAAAATGACAGAAATTTTAAGCTTTGGAGCACAGAGCTTGGTGCTCTGTTCTTCATGAAATATCCAGGTACTAGTACATGTACTTTTTTTGCCCTTTCTAGCACTACTTATCTTCCTACTCTGTCCATCAGGTTTCCCAAACTGTCTGTTAGAGTCCTTTGACTTCACATGACGTTTTTAATCCTTCAAACCTCAGTTTGAAGATAATTTCCGTTAACTGACAGCTCCCGCGAGCCTCACGCTAATTAATTGTGGGAAGCTCTGTGCTGTTCTTCTCCTTGGTTGTCAAAGGGAAAGACTTTTTTCATATATTATGGGGAAGGGTTTTGTCTCCTGTTTTCTGATATTGTCCGCATTGTGTAGCGTTCTTCGTTGCATTTGATTTTGGATGTTTATGTCTCTGTTTCATTGCAGGGACTGTCGTTCGACTAACCTCCTCGGTGCATACAAGGAATCACACTCGGATGACATCACCCAGGTAAATATATCCAGAATATGAACTGCCTGGCATTTGTTGATGAGATGGGCAGAGAAAGCTTTGAAGGCTGACTATTACACATCCTGACATGTATTGTCCGTATGTCACATTAATTGCACCTGTTTGAGTAGCCAAAATCCATTCGTTTGGCTCCCAGGCTCAGTGCATCACCAAACGTATAATCCCAAACATCCCCATAGTCATTGTAATAAACTGTTTCTACTCCTGAAAGTGGATGCTAAATCATTAGTCCGGCTTCTGTTACCCGCAGGTCCAAGCAAAACTGTACGCTTTCTTCGACGCAAACTCCCCGGGTGTCTTTGCATCGTTTCATGTTGTCCGAGTTAAAAAAAAAAAATTACAAATAAATAAACTTTAGTATGTGTGTATTGGTGGGGGCATTAACAGATGGGAGGGGGTATTGTGTTATGATTCAGCTACATGTAGCAGGGAAAGTCGTTGCCGCACATCTACATCTGTCTATCCCTTTGGTTCCCCTTTCCTACTCGTAGTCTCGTTTGTATTTGCTCATTCCCCGAGTCCTGTTGCGCGTGGTCGTGCACCGTCTTGTTGATACAGCAAATGATGTTTGCATTATCAAGAGTAGAATGGCTACTTAGCCTTTGGTTCAAGGAGTGCCCCCCCCCCCCCATTAAACAAACTGCAGGGAAGTGATTCTGCGCTCGGTGTCACTTCTTCGCGCCGTTAGCACTATAGACTGCCTCTCTGGTGGGTTCATTTGTGGAAGAATGCTGTCCTTGCCTCATTGGCTGTTTGTTTTTGTAGATGGTGGGTCGCAGATAGACAGTAAGGTGTAGTCAAAGACAGCCTCTTTATGAAAGTGGGCTGTCCTCACATGTGTCAATTAAGTCTGACAATATTTCATATTCAAACATACTTTCAATTGAACTAACCACATGTATTTGGGGAAGTGATAATTGATTATGGTACTTTGCATGTAGGAACTGCGTTGCCTACTGGTGTTGCATTTTCCGTGAACTACATGTACAAATGCATGCTTGGTGTTGAACAGGAATTGGAAAGAGGGGGGGTCGGTATTTAATTTTCCCCAGTGCCATGGTTCTTGAGTGAGAAAAGCATGATGCCATATTTGAATCGGTGGTCTTTACCCCAAAAACCGTTACCCCCCAAAAAGACACGGAAATGGGTAAAAAGTTATACATTGCAAATGGCTCTGGTGTTCAGGAAATCTTTGATAAAGTTTTTTAGCTTTGTTTTGGGTTCATTTTTTGGGTGGGTGAAAAATGGGGTAAAGAGGAATTCTCTGGAAAGATAGTTAGAAATTTCTAGACTGGAAAAGGTCCGGAAAAATCTGGCATTTGGAGAAAAATCCTTGGAGACATTATTCAAAGTACAATATGGTACTGGTACATCAACATTTGTCGTCTGGCATCGTTGTGAAATGGATACTCACCTGAGGATGAAAGCCATGAGGAAATTGAAAAAGAAAAATTTAATTTACGAGCCTTTGGTTGTTTTGTTCTGCGTGTATGTTATGGAGCTCGTGGACTTGGAAAATGTTATGCCTTTCAAAACAGTATGATCACTTGAATCTCCCTGGGGCCTAGTATACACAAGTCAGGAGCATTTACGTAGCAGTCCCAGTAGTCAGACTTGACAAGCAGGCTTGGGTTAATCAGTGCTTTGACTTGTACGCATCTCATTTGAGGGTGATGCGATCAGGCTTCTGTCTCGGTTATTTTAACCTATTGGAAATCTGTACTGAATTTGTACTTTTATTATTTTAATTGCTTAAATTCAGGATTGAATCTGTTTGCTTTCTTATTTTATCCTTTCTGAAAGTCAAAGTGTGTTGATGCTTGGTGCAAATTGAAATGTGAGTTTATATAAATGAGTGGTGTCACAGTGCACACAAAAATTGCCCCAAAATGGAAATACCAGTACTTCACTTCAGGCAGATTTAAAGTTAATGTTTGGTGAGGATGTCCGAATATACCTTTTTCCCCTGCAAGTTACGGTTTGCGTGTTCTCAGTCCCTTTGAGTGGAAATTGAAAGTCTGCATTGTTGGCTTTGATGCAACCTTCTGATTGGTCAGTTTGTGAAGTACCTCTCTGTGTGCTGAGAGCTGACTTTTGACCATTCCACTCCTGAGGACTACCAGAGCACACCGGTCAAAGCGTTGAGTTCACACTAACTGTTATCAGAACCATACTTCTTCAAAGTATCTATCCACATGGTGTTACCACAAGCCCTCTCTTTTGACTGTTTGTTGAGCATTCACTTTCTGGAAAGAGAAATCATTATGCTGATTGCACATCCATGTATTTATCAGTATTTCTGGTTCATGAATATTCATTGCTTGTTCTGTTTTCTCCTCTCCTGGTCATGTTCCTTGACTTATGCCAACAGCAAAACCCATTTGTCATTCAGCAGGTACTTTTTATATACCAACTGTCGTTATCATTGTCATTCTCTGCATGGCTTTGAGTGCATGATTAGTAATTTCAGCCCACGTGTGCATGCTTACATTCCTCCCCTTTCTATCCCCTTGCCCCTCCCCCCACAAAGATCATGAAAAGAAGTCTGCAGACGAAGAATTATTTTTGATATTGATGAGAAGACCATGCATCGTACCTGTAGGTGCTACATATGTCAGACTAACTCTACGTACATGTATACACATTGATGTGATTCATTGACGTGTATAATTTGCCCAAGTTCCTAATTATTGTTAGAAGTTTTCTTTAGAGTGATGGAAACGCTCGGAATGTGGTAGTAGGGTCGAAACAGTTTGGTAGACAAGCGAGGCATTCCAAAAATGGCCTCTTCGATTATCATTAGCCCTTGGATGTACACAGTACAGGTACATGTACATGTACCATTTCATGTAAACTGCAGAGTGCATACATGCTCATGTATGAATATGAACAAACCCTTATACATGTACATGTACATGCAAGACTTGGTCATTGCATAAACCTTGTACCTTATATTTATCTGACCAAAGCCGTGCCATTTTCATTTCTAATTGATGTGCATGTCTAATTGATGTACATTATTAATGGATATATACACAGTGTACTTTCATGGTTGTGTATTGGCGCATGATCGAAGTGCTACTAGGCTTTACAACCGAGACCGCCAGCGTGGTAGAATTGCATTTGCCCTTAATCTTCCAAATCTAAGCTAATGCAGTAAATTAATGGTGATTTCTCCATGCTTGAAGAACGTTGAGACATGAAGCTTTATGGATACCGTAGGTGAAATAACAGCAGAGCCTGTCCACTGTTCCTTTTACATAGAAGTTGATGCTCCTTGAAAAAAAATGAAGTGTAGAGAATGTGTCACTGATATGTACAAGTTTACTGAAGAGTAGAGGGTTTTAAGGATTTTGGAAGGTTCTCACTCTGCAAGAATGCCAAAGGAGTTGGGGCTCTTCCATCAAATTGATAGACATTTAGACATTGGACTTCAAGAGATTGAAGTTTATTAATGGTGGAAACAAGTGCCAAATCTTGATTGTTTTTTTGTCTGTTTTTGTCGCCGTGTGGTGCATGATAGACCTAGGAATGTGCCTACATACGATTGAGTACTGCTTTTGCAGTGTCAGATTTGTCACATGTTAAGCTCGGGGAAAAGTGTGTTTTAAATTAAAGAGGAAAACTCTTTGTATTTGTAGCGACGCTTACAGTTTCAGAAAGAAGCTTCCCAAAACGAGGCTTTGAAATTGAATCGAACTTGGCAGCGCAAAGTTCATCGCAATTGCAATATTGATAAAAATCATCTCTGCACAGAACACGAGGCATAGTGGCAAGGCGTGGTTTTTTTGTCAATGTTGATAACATCTTGTCCGAGATGTCATGGCTTTGTAATCTGTGATATCTCTCTTGGACGCCCATCAAAACAGCACTCTGTGTTATGCTGCCTGCACCTCAGAAGATTGTTCCTGTCGTGTCACTGAAGCTGTCCCCTTATATCCTTTATTATTCCCAGTGTAGTTTGTGAAGCCGTGTTGTGTATGGGTAAAGACCTGCGTTCCTGTTTAGTAACACAGTTTGTCAGTAATTTTTTTTTATATCATCATGTACATGTACTGGTAAATTTGCCTTTTTTGCTTTTTTTTTAAAGAAATTATGCTATATCTTTAATTTTGATATTTATTTTCTCATAATTTTGGCTGACTTCAGTCTATTGGTGTATGCACATACACAACTTATTTACTGCAAATTTGTTGGTATGTATTTCTTGAAAAATGTGAGAAAACTATGTTTATTCCATTCGCAAAATATTTTCTGTGGTGAAAATGGTGAGACATTTTGGTCATTAAGAACATGTACTTTCTCAAATAACAGCTTATCGGCTATCATAGTGCATCTAAATCCCTTACTTCTAGATCTGGGTGGGAACCAGTCTCACTGGTTCTCGTACTGTATTAGCCGTCATTAAGATGATGTTCGGCACAACTGAGTGGGCATTTGGGTATTCAGGCATGAAGTTCATGTCTGAATGCCCACGGTGTGTGTCTGAAGCCCCATCTCCATAATCTGCCTAAGCCACATTCATCATCTTGGTCCATCTTCTTCGCAGGTGAGGTTTCACCCCAATAAGCCAGAAAGCCTGGCAACCGGGTCGACGGATGGCCTGGTCTGTCTCTTTGACATCAGTCAGAGTAGCGAGGAGGATGCATTAGTCACCACCCTGAACTCAGAGTCCTCAGTGGTGAGTATGGAGGACAAGATGCACCACCCTGTAGATCCTTAACCGTTACCAATGTTCAGTTGTTATTGGATCAATGCAAAACACAGACAAGACAAAGTTTTGTATCCACAGAATGAAAAACCATACCGTTGTTTTTTGAGTTTGTTTTTTCAAGCTTACATGAATTACCAGTGTGTGTGTGAAAGTTGAAGGGATTTTGGAATGTTGTTTCTCAATCCAGTCATCTCTGAAAATGTTTGTTTCATGCAAAGGTTAAATGCGTACATTCTAACCATTCCCAAGTTTTAGACTGCCTATCTGGGATTGGCGTCCCCATTTGGAGAAGCATCCAATGCATGTGGGAGGCCAAATGTTGATTGTACACCACAAACAAATGAAATGCAGAGTTGCATAATTAATTACCACAGAGTTAATTGTCCAGAGTCCCCTGGACTGTCAGGTGCATATCTATGTTATTTATGACCTCTTGTTGACAATTTGATGCTTTTGACACGTGCAGATCATGGTAAAACTTGATGTGTCTGTCAACATATTTCAACTGTACTGTACATGTAGTTTCCATGATACGCATGTACTTAATTTTATAGGACTCTTTAGGTCTGAAATCTGCTAAGCAAAGATACTATTTGCTTCATGTATAAAAATGGGTTACCAGCCACTGTGGGAGTTTGTTTTGCGGTAGATTCATGCAGCAGTTTTCTTTTGTGATTTTTTGAGAACCTGAAATGAACCATGAAGATCGACAATCCACAAACTCAAAAGAGAGGACTGATACGGGGTACCAACATAAACTTGTTCCCGTTGCTCGGCTTCACCTGCAAACCTTCAAATCTAAACCAGCCCAAATATCTCACAGTTTGTATGTATCAGTGTTTCCTAACCTACTGTTTCATTTTGTCGTCCTGGCTCTCCAGAGTCGGATTGGCTGGTGCGGAACCAACAGCGAGTATCTTTATTGTCTGACGCACACAGAGACAATTCTGATATGGGATGCTGTGGAGGTAAGAGCAAATGCTGTGATTTACATATCAGGAGACTTTGAGACGCTTGGCAGCGGCAAACGTCCGTCTGTTCCTTCTTTTCCAGTTCTGGGCATGCGTGAGTTGTGCCGAGTATGGGTGCATAGTTCTGAGCACGGGGTTGTGAAAAAGGGCCGGTATGTCTGCTGCCTCCAGCGTTTCAAAGTCTCTCATTGGGAAGCTTATATCTATAACCCTGGGAAAGTTCCATTTTCGGCTGCAGAGGAATCACTGTCTTCAATGTGGGGCCAAGGTGTTCAGCGTTTTCAGTCAGTTGTGACATGAGATCTAGAGCTCAAGGAGCTGGAAAGGAAGCTGAGATTTTTAAGAGGCTCCTATGTGAGTCTGTTAACCCTCACCCGTACAATAACCCTCAACCTCTGACCCTAGTGTATGCCATGGATATGGCAGGCAATACATGCTGCTTTTTGCAGCCCATTAGCAGATGATTCACGATGTTGTGTTATCTCTTCCCAAACAGTCAACGGTGCTGACAAGGTTCGACGACGTCAGAGAAAAGCTTGCAGTAAGTCTTTGCCGAGGGCGAGAAGGTGGATGAGTGCTAATGTGTGGGAAAGACATGTTAAAACCGAGCTGAGAGTTGTGAGCTCATTAATGTCGAGCTTTAGTATCCGACCTTTGTGAATACAAAAGTTTCAACATTTTTTGTCATTTGTGGGCCAAATGCACTTCCCTCTCTGTTGTCAACTTTCTTCTTTTGTGTAGTGCGTGGCAGCCACATGTTAAGTTCACAAGTAGCTTTAAACGGAAAAAAAACAAGCAAACAAACGCAAAACCTGAGTGAAGCAGTGGCACCCCTAGCTAAGTAAAAAAAAGTCTAAGGGCATCCCATTATTGTTATCATGTCATGGTATCCATTTTTCTGTCAAATGCTCCTCTTCCTCGCAGGAGGACGACCAGTGTAAAGTGGACTACTTGGTTGATTGCTTCTATCATGCTTCGCTCAAATCGCTTGTTGTAGTGGGAGGATCTTACACGTAAGTTTCAGGCTGTCGTGGCCATGGAGATGATAGGCCAGTAGACGGTGTTGTAGTCAAGACCCTGTGAGACCATCACACCCCACATGGCCATCACAAGCCATGGCCTGGTCAGTTGAACTGCAACAAGACATTCTGTCATTGTTCATTTTGTCACTCGTGACTGGCCTTGTGACTGTTCTCGTGACTGGTCATGGGAATGACATTGTGAATGTTCTTGTGACTGGTCTTGTAAAAGGTCTTGCGGTGCTCTTGACTGCAACAGTGGCATTAGATGCCTGGCATAAATATCTCTTATTGGTGGTAACGGAAGAGGGTTTGCCTGTTGAAATCTGCGTGCTCGTAACAGTAACAAGGGGTGAAGACACTGCAACATTTGTGTGCATTCGGGGGAAGTAGTAAGGCATGCTTTGGGTTATGCCTGGACACTCAAGGGCTTACGCACACTGTGTCCTGCTAAGAGTGGCCCGCTGTTCTTGTTCTTTTGTTGTGATGGATCACATATGCATTGTACGGCCATTATCCCTAACCCCCCAAGGATTGCTGGCCCTAACCTTCCCCATTCATACAAAGTTAAACACCCATATGGGACTTTGTGCACAGAGGCTGTTGGACTTAGTTTTTCTGAGGTATACCAAACCCAATGCGAAAGTCAGNATTGTGGGGATGCAAACCATGGACACAGCTCAAAACTCACAACAGTTCCGTTCATAGTTTCTTCTTGAAAGATACCTTTCTCACAGCACAGTGCCCGCCAGAGCTCTGGATCCAGGCTGTATATGTTTCCATGTAGAGTGTCCCTGTGTTGTGATCTTCGTCCTCAGAAGTCAGGCACACCTGCTCATTCTGTGCTTATCAGGCACACCTGCTCATTCTGTGCTTATTTTCTGAAAAGAGCTACTGGAAATATGTCTTTGTTCACATTTCTTGATGCATTTTAGCGGAACTTGTGCCAGGAATAGTTGATGAAATCTTCGGGATACAGATTAGTCTAAAAACCGCAAGCAGTTGGTTAGACAACCCATCAGTCCAAACCTCTGTTACCCGAGTGGAATTTTGTTATGTATCTGCCTTGAGCAGAAGAACCCCCTCATGGGTTGAAAAGAGCCACATTGGTTGGGAGTGTTCACTTTGTTGGTAGCAATGTGACCATAACACGTACATTTCACAGTTGCTCGTGAACCAGTTCCAGCCAAAGGAACCTCCGTTGCTAAGAAAGTCCTCTTTTGGTCCAGCTCGAGGCTCATTGCTACAGAATTTGTCACATTGGATCACAAATCTCTTATAATTTAGTTTTTCATTCACGACTGTTACCACAGTGGGGATCTGAACCTGTTAGCCGTTGGCCGAGAGAGAGTACACAAAGTGCGTTCCCTGCCGAGTGCACACAGCGGGGTAGTTCGATGCCTGCACTGGGATAACATGGTGAGTAACTCTGAGGAACTAACTAGAGAGGATCACTGGCCGCTCACAGTAGCTCATCAAGGATGGTATCTCACAGCTGTTACTATTTTAGATTCAGGGTACCTTGGTGTTGTGGTACTTGTACATGTACTTGGGTATTTTGTGCACTGTAACTCTTACTCGCGAAAACAAGCTCATGCTTCTACTCACATACAAAATCCAATTTCATACACTCGCACTTGTTCAGGTCTTGTGCTCGTACTGAATGCTGAAGTACTGTACCTCTATGTTGGAATGCCCCTTGTGGGAGTTTGTCCCATACACTTGTGGCAACACCCATTTCTTGAATTAGAAGCCCTGTGTCATTGCAGTGTGTTTGGTGGAGCACGCTCACATCTTTGTGGTCATATCTAAGCATGAAATCCTTGCATGTTTACGTGAAGGCGAAGCATTTTTAGAAGAGGACTTGTACCCTGACTTGTACCCTGGCTCTAGCAAATCTTGACCCTGGAATTCAGCATACTCTTTCAGGTACCTAATACATGTAGTTGCAAAGTGAACTCCGTGCTTTGCAGGTCAAAACTGGAAATCCAGGTGCATGTTTGTAAGCCGAGGTGTATTGTTTTGAAGCACCCTCCACTTACAAATGAGTGATTACGTTCTCTCACTTTGATCTTTTCCTGCAGACGGAGAGTTTGGTCACAGGAGGGGAAGACTCCACACTTGCGGTCTGGCCGGGCAAAGAACCGCGGCTGCCAAAGCCGCCGAGCAGGTCCGCGGGGACGACCCCGACCTCGGCCACAACCCCTACAACTCCGACGAACCCGACAACCCCGACAATGCGCAAGAGGAGAGCTGAGAAACGGGCGGCACTGACTGAGGACATTGAGGTCACCAAACGCATGCAGCGAATGAAAGTCAACCACAGCCGCTCGGCCACCGTCAAATGACTACCGGAGCGTGTAGAGCACTACGAACTGTGTACGCTGCTCTCGTGAACTGAACTTGATAACGAAAACACATCGAATCTCAACCTAATTCAAGGGTGTCATGTTTCTTTGGTACATTTTATTGGCCCACCTGTCACTCTCAACACTTCAAATAGTGCAGACTGAGCTATTAACCCCTTCAGGGCGGGATTATTTTGACCGCGACTGCTGGGCTGTGGCATGCCCTGAATGGAGGGCTTTGTCCAGCAGCAGGCCCCATTGAACCAGCAGCTGCGTGGTGAATAGACTGTATGCGTGGTATGCACCAATCCTCACACAAAGTTGCGGTAGTAGCAGTCCTCCGTAGCGAAGGGGTTAATGGCAGCTTCTGTCTCTGGAAGAGATTGGTAAGGAACTTGGGGAAATAATGGAATTCATCTGTGATGCCTACTTGTGATGTGGTTTATTTGACTCAAATATTGTTGCTCTAATTGCTTTGTCGTCAGGTGCTGGTTTTCATATACATATCTTTTGGGGGGGGTGTTACTTAAAGAGAGTCATTAACGTCAGTAATAATCTTACTAACTTTTCCTTATTTTGCGTTCATTTGGGATGTAATTTGGGTTCAGGCTACTCCTGTCATTGTAGGAGTTTGTGATCATCAACTGTTACCAATTTAATCCAGTGATGTAAGAATGAGTATATTAACTCATCATGATCAGTGTCTCAAAATGAGAAATGTGGATACATTCTAATGATTTTTCTTTGGGTGATTTGACCTTTTTATTTTCATGTTTCCGAATGGCGTTTGTATTTCAAGGTGCAGGCAGCAGAAGATAGTTTGAAGCTACGTTATTGTGAAAATTTGTACAGTCTCTATTTTCTAAATCAGATGGTATAATTAAGTTCAGTATTTTGCTGTTTGCTTGTACGACTATTGCTGTAAATGTATTTTGCATCATTATTGCTTTGGCATATTTTGGATGAAATTAATTCCAGGAAGAACTGTTTAATTTGAAACTTACTCAAGATCGCCATGATTTAGTTTTTCATGTTTGTTTGGGTGTGACAAGGGGGCAAGGTAGTGTTGAAAACCTCAATTAGTTTGAAGAAACAGATTAAGCCATACCTGAATTTGATCTTTGTTTATCTGCACCTACAGATGTTCTCTCTGCTTCATTATATTCATGAAATGTGAAGCATTTTGTACTTTTCCTTTAAAAACTGAAAGTTTTATGTCATGAGTATTGCAGTCATGTACCCAAGCGGTGTTGAAGAACTTTTTCCCCAATTTTCACTCTCTAATACAAGCGTTTCACAATAGCGCGCCTCCAAGAGTTTGCAACACGTTGGCCAATCACAATGCGCGAAATTTGTCGACCCAATGCGCGTTTGGAAAGGGTCGACAAATTTCGTGCTTTGTGATTGGCCAACGCGTTGCAAACTCTTGGTGGCGCACTATTGTGAAACGCCCGTATTGAGCCTGTGGTAAATACTGTGACTGATATTAAGCCTAGGAACAAATAATGTGGTGAAATTAATGTCTACAGCCCTAACTCACAGTCTCAAATCCTCTGATTTCAATATGATTTTACATACGCCCTAGGGGGTTAGGGTTAAAGGGGCACACTATTCTGATTTATATTGGTTGAACTACAGTGCTCCTCATCAAATGGCGGTGTTTCACTGACACGCAAAAACGTGAAGATCTGCCCAGACATTACTTCTCGAAATTATCCATGCATCTGCTTTTCAGACAGATCCCAAAATTGCTTGTAATTTCAGCGGGTTTTACACAAGAGAAGAAGATCCTGTATCCTTTTAAGTTATTATGGTGCCTCAAACAAAAAAGCAGTCCTTACTTTCAAACTGGTTTAAAATCATCCCATCAGGTACATCAGCTGGAAATGCAAGCTGAAGATTAAAAAAAAACCCGGAGGCCTAAACCACTTATAAAGATTTCGTGCTAACGGAGGATAGTTTTAAAGATTTTAGAGTTCATTCAACTCAAAGGGAGGAACACATTTCTGTTTAGGAGTCCTGGTGTTAGGCACTCAGATAAAAAAAAAAAAATTATGTATGACGTCTGTACAGTCTCCGTTGTGGTATTGGTAATAGGTATGTGCTGTCAGTGTCCAGATTTGCCGAGTTGTAAAAATGCACTATGCAAACACTGTAGCATTATGAAACTACACTTTCTTTCTTTTTTTTTTGTCATTTAGACCAGTAGAGGGCGCTCTTTATGCTGCACTGGGGAGTGATGTGTAGGGACCCCCTGTTTATTCATTTCACTGAATGAAGATGTAGAGGTGTTTGGGATCCGGAGATGTACAAGGGATTTTGGATTCTAGACATTATGATTACTGTTTCACTTTTCTTATGATGAATATAGTCGAGCGAACTATAAACTTCATGTGAAATCTGCTTTTCTGTGTATTATCAGATTATATTCACACTTTAAAATTAAAAATGTTATGATCAAGTTTATATCACAAGTTGCAAATTTGATGAAAAGGGAACTCCCAAAACTCACTAGAACTGTGTCTTTCAGTAAAAAGTGTGGTCTGTTTTCAGTTGCTGAAAAATTTTAAATATTTTTTACTGGGAGGGGGCCATTTTTTATTCCAGACCGTACAGATACTAGTGTGGTGCCTGTACTCTGCCACAAACATTGTGAGGATGTTCAGAGCCATGCAGATGGATACCAGACCAAAATGGCTCCTGTGTGCTGAATGGCATTGGTAATCATTTTTTATGACTTATGCATTTGAATGACTATGCTGACAATGAGGTCTTTCATTCTTAATTTCCTGATTATAGCCTTAGATTGAGCAAGCCAGTGACTTGTGCTCCTTGTATTTACAAGATATCATAGCCCGTTCTTTTGCTGTATTATTATGCACTAGTATTCTTGCCAACCAAAAACACATTGGCTATCCTACTTGTAAAATGTTTAAAAAGTGATTCGCAAAGGTTTTAGACATGTACTTTAAATCAGTGAAAACTTCATAAACAGAAGGTTATTTCTCCTAAGTACCGCATTAAGGGTTAGATGCATCATTTTGGGGCAACATTTCTTGCTTACCCCATCTTGTGCAAGGCCACGGCCATCCATAAATGGCTGCGGTCAGTGATGTAAACAAAACAGTTGTACAGTTGTATAAATGTGCTCATGGACAACGAAATTCAGCAGCCATGATAAAGTGAAGAAAGAAGTTTTGGTGAGAAACCGTACCAGAAATCAAAAGGAATGGAAGTAGTCTGCGTGTTTACCTTTTGTAAAAAAAATCTAATCTCACAGCAGAGAGGCAGTTATATAAATTACCAAGCTGCAGATAACAGCATTTTTAAACAGTTTGAATTGGGCAGTGGAGGCCACGCCCCAAAGTATAGGGACGTCCATACCTGTGACCTCGGCCAGTCGAGTTGCATTGGCTTTGCGCGCCGGCTGGTCACCTCGAGTTGGAGACTATAGCATGCCGAATATATACGACTGGAGCAGAGTCTGATAACCGTCGATCTTTGGGAATATTTTCTGCCAAAGGCTTTCACTTTTTCGTTATTGGAATGCATAATATTAACGGGTAGAGTGTAAAACAGATGCGTTACAGGAATTCCAAATTGTGGACGTCTTTCAAATCGTACTTGTATCAAAGCTTACAATCATTCTATATTTGAATATGCATATTTACACGATTACGTCTTGGTATTTTGCATAGTATCATGAGTGGTGTTTTTATCTGTTCAAGAATACTGATCTTGCCTGATTTATAATAAACCACAAAATAATGCCGTAAGAGGATCTTTTTTGAGTCTTATTGGACTTTATCCCTTAACTTCAAGGGTAGTGTGAGCTGTCCCTGCGGGAAAAAATAACAATGAAAGACACGAATAAAAAAAGGGATTACCAAAACCAGCACCAATTTGCTTGAAAATACTTGGAATTGACCCTCATCCAGCGGTCGTGATTTGCGAGTTTCTTATCGTGCCGATTTCGTCTTATCCCCATGTCTGAGTGCCATACCTTGTTAAACGGAGACCATGGCTCGTGTGTGGAAGTGAGCATCCATTATTAAGCTGCCCCCCTCCCCCGTGGGGGGAAAATCAGGTGGCTCCCATGAAATTGGTTTTGATTGTCTTCCAATTACGAATTGGATTTGCTTGTTTTCCCCCTTTTGTTGTTTGAGGCGTTCCCCAGTTCATTGGTGGAAGTAACTCCCAATCGCAGAAAGGCACGTGGAGTTTCAGTACCTGTCCGCACCACAAGCTAGTTTTCTTTTGGAAATTCAAACTATAAACGAAAAGGGACTTTAGCATAACTTGTGGCCCCTCGAATCACTACAGGCTACAGTCAAAACAGCCCAATGACCAGTGGCCCGATGGCGTCTGGCGTTCAATAATAGATCCTGAAAGCGATAGGTCATGCAGTGAGCTTCCGGCACCCTGGCGCGCCACCAGGGGTCAATTTTCAGGCTCTACATCGTCAGTCCACACATACTGTAGATGACCTGTGGCGTAGCTTGGGGTGCCCCTATTTGAAAAACAAGTCACATGAACTGCTTTAAATTCGCTTTTCAGTACCCCCTTGATAAAAAATGCCATCCCAAGTGGCCCAGAAGTTCCACCCCGATGAAATAAGTGGACTACATCCAACTGCGTCAATTGCCGACTTGGTAGACACTCCCATCCCCCGTGCGCATGGCATAGCGGCGCTGGTTCTGCCCTCCCCCCATCATACGTCTTCCATTTTCCCTTTAATTCAGACCTATCAAACCAGTTGTAGAGGTATCTATCTACGATGGGGTTGAAGAGCTACAACGATTTTTGACTTAATAAAAAGTTCAATGGTTTCAGTGGGCGCTAACTGAGAGAATGCTCTTTAGTTTCATCATTTTCATTTCATTCATCATTTTCATAATTTATCAAAAGCAAAAAAGCAACCCCCCCCGCAAGGCTTAGAGTGGACGGCCCCTACTGTCAGCTGTTGTGACTGCTCTCCTATCGTTTGATAACGCAAACAGCGCCCTCGGGGTAAAAGGAAACATGTCAAACTCCAAGTGTATTTATGTTATCAGTCTTTTTGAACTAAATGCGAGGATATTTCCACTGTCCCTTCACTCTGCAAATTGTAGAAACAGTGGGATGAAATTTAAACTTCATGTACGGAAGGCAGGTTCTTGTCTTGAAGTTATGCGTTATAACTTCGAGAGAAGTTCCATTACTTGTACACCTTCTTGAAGTCACAAGACATATTTCAGTACATGCGCAGTTTACATGTACCTGGACCGACGGCAAGATGCCACCAGCGACAGTCCATCGATATCATGCAATAAGACTCCTAAAACGTCTTGCAAGACCAAATTTCAAATGCACCGTCGTCAGTTATATTCAAATAAGCTTTTTTATCCCAGCACAATTAAGGGAGATTAGCCTGTAATCCTCTCCAATCCCTTTAGAGAGGGTGTATCACCGCAAGACATTTTATCTCAAACTTGTAGTCCGCGAGACTAAAATTTATTACAGTCACGACACTTGTTTTAGACATTAGTTTTAGTTTGCTTCAGAATTTGTGAACTACCATTGTGAACTACCAATTTGTCAAACCTACTGAGCTTGCGACGAGAAAATAAAAGCCACGACCCCCTCCCAAAGATATCATAAACCTTTCACAGAGAGTCGATCTCTGGGGTTGAGCTGACATGTCCTTGTCGATAACAATTTATCGATTTTTTGCACCTCATTTTGTAAAGTGGCCTTCGAGTAGATACAGACCGATCGGCTTTGCACGAAATAAGACAGGGTTCGATAATTCACAATGACAAAGGGAGGGCAGTGAAGAGTCTTGAAGAGTTCTCGACCGCTTCAGTAAAAAAAATTAAAAGGTAAAAAACGATGACGTCAGTGTTACCTTAATAGCTGCCTTACTTTTTTAGAACCTCCCTGGTTCCTTTTTGGGCCAGGACAAACGTTTAAAGGGTCCCCACAGGACGGGGGAGATATGGGAGAAGTCCTTGCAGACTCGGACCACGCATGTCCAAATCGTTAAAATTCAAGCGGGACAGAGCTTTAATTGAAATCTTCTGGCGGAAGTACAAACGAGGACTGGGGCCGGGGAGGCGCATAAAACTTCTTCAAGGTGCACAGAAAGGTTTACCGGTTGAAATTATAAATGGATGGTTACTACCAAACTTCAAGTAATAAATTTTTAAAGGTGAATAAAAATCATGAGATCAATAAGCCTGTACGCTTCGCTACTGTATACAACCTGCTAAGCTAACCAATGCATCATAATTTTGGTTTACTGATTTCGACATTTCACGAAACATGTCTCCTTATTTTTTATGTGGTTATAAAAAGAAAAACTTGGCAAATATCACCCCATTATTCACCAGAGACACACCCAAGGGAGGTTTGAGCACCTCTTCCTAGGAGGTTTAAAATTATTGATTTTTTTTCTTTTCAAATTTCTCAAAAAGAAGATATCAAACATATTAAACTATACTAGCTCTGATGTAGACATAGATCCAAATCCCAAGTGCCGCAACCGGGGGAGACTTGAGCATCATGGGCTATGGAGGAGGGGTATGTCGGTCCGAGTCCCCCACTCAAGACGAATCCTGGGTGCGTCGCTGCTGTTCACCGTAGGCGCAGGCCAAGCGCCAGCAATATGAGGACCGGACATGGACACCCCTTGTGAAATAATGAGTACGATGCCTCGTAGGAATAAAAGTATTTCCCCTGACCAAAAGGACCGTAGGACTCGAAATATATACGTGTATACTACACGCTTGAGTGCGCTTTACCCAGAAGTCTCAACATTGAGAATGCATGCAGCAACCCGTTGTGCAGTTCGGACACTTGATATAACAGGCCAGCCGGTACGATTAGGTTCGTGCAATGGTTGTGCTAAGAATTTGAAGCCTTCTCTGCCCTAAATTTCAGCCATGGAAGTTGGAATTTGCGAGTGATCGTTGTGCAGAATATTCGCTAGTCGGATGTAGCGTACCGATGTGTACCGATCACTCTCGTAGCCATCATGGGCTGCGGTGGTGGTAAACTCGCCCCTGAGACGCCGGTAGATCGCCACATCGACTGGGTGAAGACGATAGAGCCCGGCCATGCCGGTGGAGGGGGCTCCTCGATCAAGAACCAGTACCGCAAGAGCGACGTTAGTAAGGTACACCGCAAGCCGAAATACAAAGCCAAATTCGACCCTCGTGTGACGGCCAAGTATGACATCAAGGCACTGATTGGCACGGGGAGTTTCAGCAGAGTTGTCCGGGTGGAACACCGGGCCACTCGCAACCCGTACGCCATCAAGATGGTGGAGAAGAGACGCGAGGGCAAACAGTGCTGGGAGGTGGAACTCAACATCCTCCGGCGAGTTCGCCACACCAACATCATACAACTCATTGAGGTGTTTGACAGTAAAGAGCGGCTGTACATGGTAATGGAGTTGGCGACGGGGGGAGAACTCTTTGATCGCATTGTCTCCAAGGGGAGTTTCAACGAACGGGATGCGACTCGGGTGCTTAAGATGGTCCTAGAGGCCGTTCGCTACCTCCACAGCCTGGGGATAACTCACCGCGACATCAAGCCTGAGAACTTGCTGTACTACCATCCCGGTACAGACTCCAAGATCATGATTACAGACTTTGGCCTGGCTAGTTGCAAGAAGGGCATTGCCGATCAGGACGATGCGATGAGAACAATTTGTGGGACTCCAGAATACATAGCCCCGGAGATCCTTCTGAGGAAGTCGTACAATCAGTCAGTTGATATTTGGGCGATCGGTGTTGTGACGTACATTTTGCTCAGTGGTAGAATGCCATTTGATGATGACAATAGAACTCGCTTGTACCGCAAAATACTGCGAGCAAAGTACTCCTTCGCTCATGAGGTAAGTACAGAAGGTACAAGTTAATTTCTCTTGTAGGAAAATCCTCCATGAACATTTACATTAAGCCTGAATTGCAAATACTGCATGGGTGATTTTGCATAATGGTAGAAAGGCATTGTGGGAAGGAAAAGGTTCAATGTTTGCTCCTTTTTCCTTCCGAAATGCCTTTCTACCAAGGCTAATGGCAGTTGCAGGAAGAGCTCTACATCCAACCCCCACGATTTTTAAGTCTTGTTACATGCATTACCAGCAAGTTTAAGGACACCATTTATGGGGGGGGGGTTAACGACATAGGGAAGTGGCGAGAGACCCATCTCTGGGATCTTTTTTAAGTTGTTGGTGTTTATGAAACTTGAAAATCCTGAATATCTGATATAGAACTCTTTCCCAGTTAATTTTGATTTAACAAGTGCAACTTGTGAAATCAAAAAAGTTGTGTCATCCACAATATTGCAGTTTTGAGGTTTTAGATTATTCAGATGTAAAGCCTATCAGCAAACTACCGGTACTAAGAGATGTTTAAAGATTGTTTCTTCTAAAGGCTTCAGAAGATTGTTCAGCATTGATTAGAAATTAAATTTTTTCTGTCCTAAATGATGCTTTAAGCTGATATATGTGTAAATGAGGGAAATTTGACGAAATACATATGTACAGTACCGGTATGTGTGAGGGTAATTCTGGAGATTGTTAAAGTTGTTTTAGTTTTGCTATTTCAAGTAAACTTGTCCAATAAAAAAGTGGATCCCAAGTTACAGAAAAGAACTTTACCTGCAACTGTTGGGGTTCAACTTCTCTTGAACTACATCTGGGCTTTCCAGAAAAAGGAAGACACTCAATCTTTCTACATTTTCTTTAAAGTGTTAACTACTGGTAAATGTACTCGAAATCTCCTTTTCAGAGGACGACCGGTAGCTGTCTGACGTCACCTGAAATCATCACGTCAGAGCTGATTTGTTGATTCACTCTGAAATAATCTGAGATTTCACTAGCCTTTGTTTTAGTCAAAACTCCTGGAATATGATGCTGCTATCAGGCTTGCATGCTGCATGATTGATGGATCTGCGGGATCACTTGATTGTGCTTTGCTGTTCATTGTACATGTACATGTACATGTACATGTACCTTGTAAATTTAATTGACTGACAAATTTGCTGTATTAAAATAGTGATTCCGTGAACTGATTTTCCCATGGGATATCATTTGTAAGGTTATTCTTATGAAAGGCTGGTTTTGTCCAGCCTCCGCTGTCTGTGTTATAGATAAAGCTTGAATTGGTTGCTGAACTGCCATTCTATTTCTAATAGAACTGTTACATTGCGGAAATGAATTGGCCAATCCCGTCATTCTCTGGATTGCGTGTCAGCAGTGGCCTGCCCGAAGGCCCAATGACTACAGACAACAATGCCAACATTGCCTGTGCTCAGACGCACCGTTGCACATCCTATTGTCTCGCAAGTGTTTTGGCGGTGCGAAGTCAAAAATTCCCTCCAAGTCATTATGAAAAAAAACAGTGAACAAATCTGAGAGTCAGTTGCTTGGTTGACCCCGATTCCCCCCCCCCCATTTCTGATTGTCTTCAGTGGAAGAAATTGGGCTTGAGTTATTTGGAGATCCATTTTTTTTGGGGGGGGGTCGGATGTAAAGGGGAAACAAGTCGGTCTTTTGAGGCTGGCATCTGGATGCCATGTTTGTGCTACATTGTAGTGGGCAACCTTACTAGTGAGGGTGATTCGTATTCGGGGCTACCGGTACATGTTTGCTCCAGGGTCAGAGACTGGTGGTTCTCTGCATTCCCTTCCCTCTTCCACAGTCCACCCAGCTCTCTTTTCTGGCCTTTTTGTTGCCAGCGGGCAGCGTTCATTTGTTCTTAGCGGTGGGATGACCATTAGGGTATTTGGGGTGGGGGGAACAATGCCAGCCCAGCTTGGCCATTGTCTCTTGGCACGCAAGGAAGCAAGAGGACTCGGGTCTGTTGGCCCTGTTGAGTCACCTGGGATCTCGAAGACTGTGATCTCCACTTCCTTGGGCTTCCGAGTGTCTTTCTTGTGGGTGTGATCTCTGACACCATACATAGAAGACTTACATTTCTTAGTCCTGAAATCTGTGATTTTTCTCGGAAGTGTTGTACCTTTTGGGACTGATTTCACCTCAGTGGCATGGATGCCGAAGGCCCCTCAGATTGTTTGTAAACCCAATGTATAACAAGTTCTTTGAATGGTTTTGGAGTTGAACCTTTTTCTTCAGTATTAAAGCAAAGGGTGTCATACTCAACGTAAATAGTGTGAATTTTGTGACATGGCAAATGCATAAATTCTAAATTTCTCTGTGAATGTTTTGTGATGTCAAATTTACCTTCCTTTTTTTCATTCTTGGAGCGGAAGAAACAGATCAACAGAGGGGAGGCACTCTCTGAGAACTTTGCTCACAACTTTTCCATAATTTTGCAAATTGTAAGGAATTCATACACTGTACTGGTACATTCACTAAACGTACAGGTGTACATGTACTTGTACATGTACTTGTGTGTACATGTACGTACACATGTATGGCACATACAGTGTATGTCAAATTGTTCATGTTTATCTACATACCTTGTCAAGGCTGATGGTTTTCATTTTCTGATGCAGTTTTCTCGAGAGCTTTGCAAAGCAGAAAGGTTGAAATCCAGTCATGAGTGTGTGTGTTTTGTTCTGTATTCCTTATGAACTTGTAATATTCGGCATTGAGATTCAACTCAACCGAGCCGTGAGAGCTCTATTCCCCATACCTGGTATGTGTCCAAACTCCAAAACAGCCATTTTACAACCCAGCTATTAATGTTTTATGGCAACTGTTTGGGTTGTTAAATTGCCAGCTACGTTGTACTCAGTACATGTGTACATCTCGAGTGTGAGCCAAAGATGTTGTTTCAAGGCATCCAATTCAGCATTAGTTGATTGAAATTGTTTTCTGAATTAGTTCCAAATCATTGTAATCAGCTTTGCTGCTTACCAATACCTACACATACTGTACATGAACAAAGTAATGTACATTACTGGTTACCCTCTTGATTGGTAACTTGTTTTTGACAAGTAACTAAAGTTCACTATATGTTCATGAATCTTTAGCAAAATCATGTCTTCCGCAAGGTTACTATAGTCCTAGTGAATGAATCTGAGTACATCACCTCATTAGTACACAGTACCTTTTTAATGTTCAGTGCCATTATGTAATGTGCAGTGCCTTCCTAGTTCTCATAAAAATTGTCTTGAGCTTAATACCAGTATCTGGGGGGACTTGTTGGGCCAGTGGTGCAGGGCAACATTTTAAGAGAGAAATTTGCTAAGATTCAATTTTGTAACGATGGAATTCAGTAGTCTACTCCTTACAGTACACATACTAGTATTGTGCCAGTTTAATTTCCATTCTTGGATCACACCTCTTCCCCCTCCCCCAACCCCCACCAACAAACAAAACAGAACAGTCACTGGTTCTGATGAGCATACTATCCGGTAGCACGGTACCTTTTTTGCTGAACTTAACACCACTTGAAATCTTCCTTGAGAGCTNTAGTCACAGAGCACCAGAGATCTTTTAAGTGAAGGGTTATTATTGATATGTAAATGAGACCTTTGTGTTGTGATCGCAGTAGCAGTGAGTTAGTTGTACATGTACAGTAGGTAGAGGTACTGTACCCTTTACAAGGTGTGGGATAGTGTTTATTAGCCCAAAGCTGTATTCAATCCAATGCACATACATGTACTACATTCGAGTTTTGGAACCTTTTTGATTCATGTACCACATGACCTATATACATGTATACATACTGTACATTATGTACAGATATGTATTGCGTACTGTACATGTACATGTACATGTACCTGATTTTTGTCTATTGCAGAGGGGTCCATGTTGTTTTATACACTGTACAACCGAGGGACAAATGGCACCTGAAGCAAAGGGGAGGGTGCCATTTACAACCCCCCGGGTGTACAAAATCCATGTACCCAATCACACTCACAAGAACCATTTTTTGTTACACCGCATGTGGTAAGAGATTTTACAAATGCAAGAGAATGAAGTGAACACATGCATGATGTATACTGTGCACATCACAGTGCGTTTCATTTCACTGAAATTGTCTTCACCAGCAAAGTGTAACAAGTCGCAAAATATGCATGCATACCGGTCCATGCACTGTACTGGTACATCATCCATTTGTACAGATCTACATGTATGGTACACCTGTACTTGTAAGTTGTATGGCACATTTGTCGTTCAAAACGTGTAATTGGATCATGTGTGTGCACTTTTCCTCTTGTGTCCATGTACAACTAGACAGGTGTTGTGAAATGTTGATTTGATCAAGCATGTAACCATTGGCATGAAAAAAAAGAAAGATTTGTGACAGCACAGTTCTACACAAGATGTACTGTAGATGGAACCTTTGAGTCCCGTGATTGTTCTTGCTTGAATATTTGCATAGCTCTACACGTACATGTACATGTATGTACAACATTGTACTGTACATCATCCTAATATCCTACACGTACCAGGGGCTTTTTAAAAAAAGCCGATGTGTGAGTGCCCCAAAGTTGAAAATCCTGCCATTCAATTTGACTCTGGAAATCCTGTCGCTTGCGTGACTGGACAGGTTTGAGCAAACCCCTGTGAAATAAACCGATGTTTGTTTAGTTTTAAAATATTCCATCCACTGGCAATTGTAAACAGTTCACAGCTGCACAAGTTGTGTGTTTCAACAAGACCAAAGCGGCTCTGCACTCTGTTTGTTTTCCAGTGTGGTCTTTATTCAAAACAAAAACTCTGAATGTGGAACGTGTTTCTTCAGTACGACAAACCAGCACAGATTGTGCTGAAAAAGAAAATGAAAGTTGGTATTTGAAAAAGTTCTTTTTGTGAGGGAGGAAAAACTGGTACCAGTACTTTAAAAAATACATGTACATATATGATGTTCGTTTGCTTAGCAAACATCACTGCTTGCTGGTTTTGTTGAAACATAG